CAACGATTTATCTCGAACGAAGAAACGAGCAAGTAAAAAAACTCGTTCGTTGTGTACAAACGTTATTTTGTGTGCGTGTGATGTCGGTACTACTGCGAGCACGGATTTTGTTTTATTCTTTTTTATTTTTTGTATTTTGTATTTTTTTGTTGTCTTCTCCTCTTCGCCAAATTCGTACCACAAAGTACGATACCCATTTTCTTCTTCTGTGTGCTTAATTAATGATCTAATTAACGAATTAGTAACAAAAACAAAAAAAAATTAAAAAATAATAAAATATAAGAAAAGCAAAGAACAAAAAAAAAGAGATAACGGAATTAAATTATACAAAAGAGAAAAAAAAAAAAAAGAAAAATCTATAAAATGTGCATGCACCTGAAGAATACAACCACGAACCAATCAACCAACCAACCAATCAACACGAGCAAGCAAGTGTCGTGCATCTCGAAAGCGTTTGACGCGTGTATGGGCAAACAAAAACAAAACAACAAAAAAATACAACGTTTTATAGGTGTTTCATTTTTCAATTTGTGCATTTACATTTTTGTTAATAATACAAACAAAACAAAGAATAAGAAAAGAAATTATAATAATAAAAAAAAAATAAAATAAAATAAAAAAGAAAACGAAAGGATCAAGTCAAATCAAATCAAATCAAAAAATAATAATACTAATAATAATAAAAAATGAACGAATATAAAAAGGACAAATATGATCAAAGATTTTAACAAGCAAATATATATATATATAAAAAAAAAAAATAGAACACAAAAAAAAAAACTAATAAATAAGAAAAAGAACAGAGCGAGAAATATTCTAACGTAAGACTCTCAAGAAAAAAATATCAAATAAAAAATAAAAATAAAAATAAAAATAAAAAAAAAAGTCCAAATGACTTGAAAAAAAATAATAATAATAAAATAATAAAAAAAAAAAAAAAAAAACTTTGTCTCTCGATTAGAATTGAAACGACACATTACAAAATTAATCGATCTTCCTTTTTTCTGTTTCCTCAACGCTCTAGTTGTTCAGGATTAAGCCTCTGCCAGTGTTAGTAAGTACCGCCACTTGATCTGGTGTGATTGGACTGCTGTAGTTAGAAGGCTATGCGTTTATTACATATTACCCATACACATATACACATATATACACACACACAACATTAATATAAACACATGTCTTCACAAAAAAAAACCATACACACACTTACACACCCGGCACACGCACATACCATCCCTCCGAACTTATTCCACCACTCGACTGATACCCTCGACTTTTTCTTTCTTTCTATCTCTCTCTCTCTCTCTCTTTCTACTTCTCTTTTTCTATCCCTCTGTCTCTTTCTCTCTCTCTCTCTCTGTCTCTCTCTTACTCTCTTTCCACCTCTCTTATAACACGTTTCATACGCCACTGCAGAAAAGTAGGTCTTTCTACCTATTCCGTTGTTATTGAATGTCGCGATTTGTTTCATTACTTCGAACAATTTTTTTTTCTCTGTTTGTTTTTGTTTTTGTTTATTCGCGCACTCACTCTCGTCGTCGTGATAGATACTACGTTTTTAAAATGCAAATATAAAAAATTACGCGTTGATTTTTTTTTTTTTTAGAATTGCGAAGCTATTTAGAATACCGTGCAAATGTGCATCGTCGTCGTCGTCGTCGTCGTCGTCGTCGTGTTGTATTATATACTCGAATCGATGATACATTGTTTTAATTTAGTTTTTTATAATAATCATAGTTCGTACGTTGATCATCACAACACGGTAGCATACATTTTGTTTTTTTCATTCGTTTCATTTTGAAAAATATAATAATAATAATAATAATAATAATAATAATAATATTTGTATCGTAGCTGTACGGGGGTTAATGTTAAGAATTTGTTTTCTGTTTCTTTCGTTTTCGAACTGGGATAAAAAAAATTAGCACGTATAGAATTAAACAAATGATATATATATCTCTCTCTCTATTTTGATTAGAAACTTAAACCTATGTTCCTTTTAATAATAATAATAATACCTTTTTAAATAAAATCCTTATCCTGAAACTCTCGTCACGAAATTGAATCGCACCTTCGCATTCCTTTCATACCCTTTTACCTGATTTATCATGTATTACCGGCCAGGCACAATATTTCCCTTCATATATACAAATATATATGTATATATATTTTTTATATTACATATATATATATATAATTAAAATAAATTAAATTAAAATATTGATTAATTGTACTACAATATACGAATATATATATATTTTTATTCGTATAAAAAAAGAAAACTGAAAATTATTGTAAATCGCCGGTACATTTCCAACAACGACGTCTTATTATTATTATTATTATTATTATTATTATTGTTATTATTATTATTTACACGCACCGCCAAAGTAGAGCCCGAATAAATGCATTTCTGCAGCGCGCGTTATTATTGTAATATATTTCTACACATACATTTGCGTGTGTGCCTATCTACGTTTGTCTATCCTATCTGTTTTTTTTTTGGTTTTTTTTTATTATTATTATTATTATACGTCATTACATATTTTAATATGTGCAACAACTTAGTGCTTCAGCTTCTTGTGGAAAAAAAAAAAAGAAAAAAAAATTCAAAAAATATATATATACAAATTGTATTATCGTCTTATTATAAATATTGCATTTTAATTCGCTAGAGGATTAATCGTTGCGCTAAATTAGACGCACGTCGATCTAATTTAATAACCGTTTTTTTTTATTTTTGGCGTAGCTAATGCGTAAAACGTCTTTTCTTTGGTGGGCTAAACGCAAATAAAAAAAAAAAAAAAATAAATAAATAAATTAGGAAGATAATATTTGAAACAATATCTATAACAAATCGTGTTAGATTTGTTTTAGAACAAATTGTTATGAACACATTCGACGAGATTAGCTTGTTGTTAATGTATTGTCAATGATTGATTAATTATTATTATTATTAAAAAAAAATTAAGAAAAACATCAACCTCATCCCGCTCGCCACATCGTCGCCTTGCAGTGCACCCCCTATCCACCCACCCACACCCCATTAAAAATAATTGAAACAAAAAAATGAATTTTAATGAGAAGCCAGTGATACTACTTGACAAAAGTCACGAGTCTCACAATGAATTTGTGTGATTTTTGTGAGAAGAATGTTCATTTGTTAAACCCCTAATTTCTTTCATAATTTTATTCTTATCTGTTTGATAATAAAAAAATTAAAAAATAAAAAAAAAAACAGGACGAAGTCGTATCACGGCTCGATCGCTGATTATTAAAACTCCAATATTTTATCGGTTATTTGTTTAAAAAATTGAAATCATCATTTTTCCAACAACCTTTATCATGGAAACCGTAAAAAAAAAATTGATCGGTACCGTACGCTTTCATACTATGGCAAGAATTATTAGCTGATAGCTTGCAATTTTATTTTTCTTTCTATCTATCTATCTATCTATCTCTCTCTCTCTCTCTCTCTCTCTCTCTCTCTCTCTCTCTCTCATTCATTCTGTCTATCTATCTATCTGTCTCTTTCTATCTATCTATCTATCTATCTGTCTATCTCTTTCTCTCTCGTGCGCGCATTATTTGCTTCCTTAGCAAAAAAAAAAAAGAGAGCAAAAGAAAGAGAAGTTATGTTAGATACAAAAAAAACCAATTAATTAATTAATTAATTAATTAATACGTTTACTAGTTTGTTTAGTTTTGCAACCATTTTTATTAGTAGCATCTCTCATCAGCGATCGAAACGAACGATCAATGGACCGATTAATTTAACCACCATAGCTTGCGTTCTATAGAGAATGCCATTATTTTTGTATTTTGTATTACTTTACCTTGGTTTTTTGTTTTCTTTAACATTTTTACATATATACATACATATATATGTAAATATATTTAACATTTCATCTGAAATCCGATCGATCATCGTTTTGTTCTTTTTCTTATTTTAATTATAAAACAAAGTTTTAATTAACATGCAATTAATTTATTTTCCGTTGATCGAACTTTCGATTTGGAAAAAAAAACAAAAAACAAAAATATTTTCTTTTATTTGTTTTTTCTTTTTTTGTTTTGTTAACCCTTTGACTGCCACGTAGAAATCATATGTTTTACCCAAGACGCCACGGTATTATTTTTATTATTCAAAGAAATATAATGGTAAAATAATAATAATCAAAAATTTTAACCAGTTAAGCGTGTTTGACGATGGAGATGTGGCTAAATTTTGTGTTATGACGTCTATATACGTCATGCGTATAAAGTTTGTTACAATTTGATGTTTAAATTGTAATTTTTGTTTAATATTAAGAAACTGTGTGTATATATTACTAACAAAATTGTTCATTTTTTTAAATAAAATCGGTCTTTTTGACTAATCAAATATTTTAACAGCGCCACTTACTTCTCTCTTCGACGACTATATCCGTCATCGCTTGATTATCGCGACACACACCAGAGCGCGCTTTGCGCACAGATCGCCATCACACTTAACTGGTGGTTAATTGTTCAATAGGACACTTTTTATTTCAAAGTATCTTCTATATATATATATATATATATATATATATATGTCATACTCAAATACACTAACTTTCAATTTTCATTTAATTTTTGACAATTGTAAAAGGTTCTATACCAATTACCAATGACTCCACCGTGGCGTCTTAGAAGAAACCGTGACCAATATGACAGTCAAAGTGTTAAATTTATTCATTGAAAAATGAACACAAATATGTTAATGTATTTTTGTTGTTGTCTATGTTAATTCGCAGATATTCGTACGCGCACAATTTGACTACGATCCTTTAGAAGACGATCTAATACCGTGCGCACAGGCCGGTATTGCATTTAAAACTGGTGACATACTACAAATAATAAGCAAGGACGATCATCATTGGTGGCAAGCACGTAAGGACAACGCGGCTGGTTCCGCTGGTCTAATACCTTCCCCCGAACTTCAGGAATGGCGTATCGCTTGTATGGCAATTGAAAAGAATAAACAGGAACAAGGTAATCCCCCTCTTTATGTTTTTTTTTTTTTTTTCATTAAATAAATTCATTCTGTAAGCCTTATCATTATTATCATTATTATTATTATTATTGTTATTATTATCACGCGAATATAAAAAAAGAGAAAAAAAGTTGTTTAATATATATATATATATTGTTTTTTTTCCTTGGTAAATTTAGCACGCAATAATACCATGCTAGTAGACCATATTTTGATTCTCGATATTTTATATCGTACTATCGAATATCACGTATCGATATTTTTCAAGGGATACAAAAAAAAAATGAAATTCCTCCATTATGATACGCTCGTGATTACACATTTTTC